CTGATTGCGTCGACAGACTGTCCTACGAATAGACGGCATGCCCGAAAAGCCTATCTATTTCGTGAGATGTTACCAATCAACTATGCGTGCAATAATAAGAATACATGAAGAATAATCACTGTTTGTCTCAATTCCGGTGTTTGATAGGTTGCACCTACAAAAACTCTCGACTGGATATTAATTACTCCGAGTGGTAACTGACAGCTCTGGTTTGCACGTAAGCTCAGACATCTTCCTAGTCGATTTATAATTCGCAGACAATATTGCCTTCTAGGAAAACACTCTAGTTTCCCAACAACCGATACTCTCCTCACAATAGCCATAAGACTGGATATCAATCCGTCAGATACGCAGACTTTTGTCATGTGCTTCAGTCCTCATCTTCGACACATCTCAGCGGCTAGTCAATCCTATCTTCCATATACATGAATCCACAATCTTCACGAATGACAAAGGGCTCATGGACAGCGGTTCGAAAACTTCGTAAATTACTTTGCATCAGTGTGCGAGTTAAAGTCTGAGTCTTCTGAGACGTCATTAGCTCTATAGTTGGGAAATGTGGCCCACTACGTCTCCAAGGCAATCAAGCTGAACATCTACAGATCCTCAAAGCATCTTTGAGTGACATGACCTTAAGTGATAGTGTAACGAGAAGGCGAGTCCGCTGGCAAAACGTTTGTTGATCCAATTCGAAAGCAACCGGTGTATGCGTTCGATTATATACAATCAACTCTCAACCGTGCGGCAGGATGATTCATGCCTCATTCTGTTGGTTTGGGTCTGCACATGCCACGTACGCTTACTCTTCTTCCGCGTGCCGTTCCGACTGATTTGATCCGATCGTAGCGCGAGATACGTTGATCGACAGCTCCGACGTTGTGGTATTCGGTGGATATCTTTTTAGCTAGATGCGGATTGTCCGTCGGGCCTTGGTTATCGATTCGTTCGTTTCGAGTGGTAGTCGACATTGTCTTGCGAAATACTTCCAGCTACTAAGTCTGCTCACCTGGTTGGATCGGCCCTATTCTTGATTCGTTCACTAGTCGGGACTCTCTTTGTACCACCTTCTATCACAACAGGACAAGAAAACGCCGTTACAATAATAAAATCAATCCACACACTAGCAGTATGCCCCAGTTACACTTGCCTAAACTTATCACTGACAAAGATTTTTCCTCTTGGGAGACCTTGTGCAACAATATTCTATCATGGCTCACACACCCATTACACGCACAGAACCTAAGCAGTGTGTATCCCTTTCAGCAGACAGGTGTCATTATAAACTTGTGTGTTCTTGTACAACTGTCCACCGTTTGTCTGCTATCTCCTATCTCTCGAGATTTTTGACATGGAAATAATAAATAAAAATAATCACTTCCAATTATTTGCATTACAGTCTAATCGGTGCTTCGGTCGTCGCATAACCAATTAGTCCATGTGAACTGTTTTCCTGTTTAAGCTCCTCGATCGTTCTCGGTTTTCGAGAATAAACCGTTCGCTTCAAATATCCCCACAGAAAGAAATCCAAGTGATACAGATCAGGTGATTTTGGAGGCCATTCCTTTGGTCCTCCTCGGCTAATCCATCTGAAGTTAAATTCCGTGTCGAGGAAACTTCTCACCACCAGAGCATTGTGTGGCGGTGCACCGTCATGTTGGAACCAAACTGTAATAGTACCAACTTAAGTTTCTATACGCCTGATGGCAGATAACACATTATCTTGTAACATTTGCAAGTATGAAGCGCCTTAAACAATTTAATAAGCAAAATTGTACTTACCTGTTACAGTGAAATCCCAAGAAAATTCGACTGCACGCCAATGTGATGAGTAGCAGAAGGGGTAAACCCAGTGTCACGAAAACTCTTCATTCATGGGAACGAGCAACTTAAGACCCAGTACTTGGAGTGGCAAACCATACAAGGTGCCCATTGGGATAGGATCTACAGTGAGGGTGCCTACCAACTTCTCTATCTCGCTCAGTCGGGACAACGTGGATCGAAATGCTGCTGAGTTGATAAAAATATGCTTGAATCCATCCACCGGATAAAACGCTTGGCTATCACAGAGAGAAATGCGAATTTGACCGAAGATTCAAAACCAAATCATAACCGTCCAATCAAGTGATAAACAGTATAGCTTTCTCAGACTAGAACAGGAGGTATTAGGTTTAAAGTGGTAGGATAAACTTTAGTGAAACGAAGCGCAACTAATTTTAATTCGTTTGAGACGGCCAACGCATTTGCTCAGAAGAAACTGTATTCAATCCATTCACATAATTTTAATTGATCATTGCGACACACGCATTAACCACCAGTCAAGCAACCAAGTTCCTGGTCATCGCGTAATGTTCTTAGGTTTGGAGCAGTTTAGTTGTCAAATGGATTCGTCTCCCGACCTGCAGACAAGGAAATGAGACACCGCCTTTTATTACGATTTTAACTGATCATTTCATTTTACGAACTACCGTTGGTTTACATAAATACTACCTTTCGTACCCTTGATATACATAAAAGCTTTCCATGTACAATACCAGATGTAATACATTGTAACAACAAAAAAAGGAGAAAGTTTTGCTGTCATTATTCATAATACTTTGAGCGCCAGAGCTTTGCAGTAGTCCTCGTGCATCAACTCATTATCTTAGCGACCTTAGTCCACGTGAATTCTTTCTCTTCTCTTCGACTCTGCTCACAACATTCCAATCTTCCTTCGGCTCTTTTATCCAAATGGGCAGTGATGTAATATCCAAAACCGGCACATGAAAGTTAGTTAATGGTTAATGGTTCTTAAAACTGAAACTGGTGCAAGGCTGTGAAACAGAAGATCAAGTCCCCTTAGCTTCGGTGCTCAAAAGAACAAGTTCGATTCCTCTCTACTTCATACATAGAGTCAGGTGCGACAGGCTTCTGTAGATACATCAAAACATACGGCGTCCTGAGTTAGCGTCAATAAGTAGCCCATCCAGATCCATGCAGCCTAACCCTATATCCGTCACAACAAACATAAAGTCAAAATAGTTAGAGCCCGGGTTTTGGCCACTCGTCTGAATGACCCATTGAGTAAGCAGAGACTGAAGGAAAATCAAAACACTAAAACCATATGTGAATGGGGCATACAGAAAAGGACTTGGGAGTGAGCACAACTGTCTCTGTTTTGGACGAAGGAGACCAATATTCTTTGTTTGTTTATTCCACGGAATGTGAATTTTTGGGGAGGACTGCAGACAGAAAAGACGCGTTTGCGTCGCTGACTTGAACTCAATGCCATATATCGCATTGCCTCCAGCCAACAACAATTTCAACCTCAGGGGCCATAGTCCGGAAGCCAGATCCGTCGAAACCACTTGCAGAGGAACCCCTAACTATCCTTACCCATCAAAAAGCTAATCTCATTCTACAGTTGGTACGCAGCGGCTTGAGCGCATTTCTCTAAGGTTTTGACTAGCGCCTCAGTGTCTTGGTCCTCCTTCCGCTGCACCTCGCGAAATACCCCTACACTACCATGCGTCTAAAATGGCCCCTGCTGAGAAAACTCAACCCTCCGCCTCCATGCGGCGGTTTTTCGAACAAAAGGAGATGACAGAAATCCAACAGTTTGGGCTTTAACAGGGTTGGCGAACCACTGTAAGTTAACTTAGGATAGTTGACCAAGAACCCTGCTTCCGAATCAACCAAGGTGTACGAACTACACACAGAAGACCGCAACCAAAAACGGCGCACAAGAATGCATGGTCAATTTTTTGTGTAGAGTAGCAAGCTTAGTTAATGGTTGTAAAAATTGAACTGAACTGAACGAACCCCAGACCTTCCTGGTTGTGGTAGTGCTCGCCGACCCGAGTGAACACCTTGGACGTCTGACCCCGGTCAACTGGTCACCAACCCACAACAAAATCCAATTATCACACACCGTCCTGCTGACTGGCGGATCAGGCTCTGACCAGCCAAAGGCTCCGGTCGTAAATTCCACAAGAAAGTTCATCTGCATTGGCCTAGGCAACCTGGCAGCATCGTGCCCACAAGTAAAATTTTTTGTTAGAGCTTATTGCACTGCGGCTTGTTTGGAATTAGACGGGCGTGAAAATATACACTAGCTAATGCTGACATTGCTTACCCATTTATCTTTCGAGACTCAAGTAATGCCCCGTGGACAGCCATGTTCGAAAATTGAGTGTCTATTAATCCTCTCTCAGATTCACGTGGACCTGAAGGAGTGTCCGCAATTTAGGATTCAACGAGAGATGAAAACATGATCGATGTAGTTTCTACGACTTAGGTTTTTACTCCTGCAATAGAGTCAGCCGAAGATCAGAATTGATCATTCCAATAGATCAAATATTTTCAGTTGCGATGAGTCACAATGGACCGTATAGCGCAACCTGACGAGATGACGCATGACGTGATTAACGTGGCACGCTCAAAATTTCAATCGCACCGGATCACTTTGGAACAGCCCCATTCAGCTGATCGTTAACAATGCTTTTAATAAACTAAGGACTGATTCACCTGTGCTGATCCAAAAGGTATAAGCATCCGTGGCCTGAACCACAAAGAAAAAGCATCATTTGAAGCATATTTTTTTGTATTAATTTTTGGCGGGCAAATAGAACGGTAAAAATATTCTATTTGTGAAGACCGGATACAGAGGAATATTCTGAAAAGGGGTGAAACCGGTATTGGTTATTCTGCCTGAAGCAACCCAACTTTGATGAGGAGTTTAAAAGTCGGATGGTCTTGTGACGTACAGAAGCGCAGTGCACTGCTTGGCAATGCCAATGGTACAGTAGCGGAGACCGGCCTGACTCTTTGAGCGGCGTAGGGTGCGAGTGGGCAAACCAAATTGAACACGAACAAGGCAGACTGACAAACAAGCATACAGACGAAAATATAGCATAGAGTGCAGAAACAGACCTGGTGAAATTCAGATCAATGGTGGTCAAAATGAATGAGATACAGCGAAACAGGTGGCCCATAAAATGGACGAGAATGAGAATATCCCTTGATTACTTCTCCGGAGGGTAACCGGAGAACTCAGCTACAAGTTTTTCTACTTCCGCCGCAGTCGGTTTCTTCCCTTCAACTGCATGGCACCGACCCTCCGGGATTGCAGCCAAAATCACCTCGCGCGCAATCGATGAGGATACACGACGAATATCACTAAGAGGTGGGAAGATACGCCCTAAATTGTAGTCAGAGTCCGAAACCATAGCAGCCAATGTCTGAAACAGAGTATAAAAAAAATCCGTTACAACCCAGAAAAGTGGGATAATGTACTTTTATTCAATGCACAGGAACTGGAAAACAGTAGCTAATATTTAATGTCCTAGCGGGCAAACCGAATTTAGATTATATGGAAACTATTATTACCATATACAGCCTAATGGTTAAATTTTTTGGTTATTGTTTTTACTGAGCATGTGATCAAGCTACTCCGGCGCCAACCGTGACTTATGTTGAAAAGTATTGGATTCGGGGATCTGCAGTGAGAACAGTATGAACAACGCGAAGCAAGATCAGTC